GCACTGTACCTAGAGTTGAGTGGCCCACTGGAATTTGGACCCTTTGAAGAGATTTACAAGAACAGTGAGACTGATCAGGTATAGTAAAACATGAGCTATTGTGATTGAGCTTAAATTACTTTCTGAAGAGCTTTAAGAATACTTTAGACAAGCATCTGTGCAGAATGACAGAGCTGCTGCTGTTCCTGCTTTGGGGTCTAGATAACCCCACCCCTAACTCCAGTGATTTTATGGCATTGCTGTGAACACATCAGAGTGCTTCCCTGACTATTCCTGACTCCAGTACTCTGCTTTTCACAGCTGTAATCATGGAATGGTTAGGATTGGAAGAAACCTTAAAGATCATCTAGTTCCAGCCCTCCTGCCATGGGCAGGGTTGATAATATTCCCAGTTTCTTACCAGTGATAAAACCTGTTCTGTTGCCTGACCTCTGCAGAACTCCATTCACATGCTGATGATATGAGTGAGAAGTAGGGGAGGTGTGGGGGGGGCACCTATGGGAAGGTGCTGCTGTCTATGCTTGTACCTTTGCTCTGTGGATGACTCTGAGCACTGCAGCATTCCAGTTTCCTTGGAGCTAGTCTTGCAGAAATAGAGGTTAGGTTGTTTTAATATGTTTATTTCAAAGAAGGAAAAAAAAGAAAAAATGTTGGTAATGGTGTTGGCAAATCCAGTTAAAAATTATTTTCCTTTCTCTCCCAAGCAAAAAACAATGGGTGATTCAAGTTTTCTTCAGAAAAAGTGGATTATCGTTGTTAAGAGATTTCTGTGTTTTTTAATCAGGATTTCTTCATTCATTTTGGGTTTGTTCTGTAATAGAACAAAAACAGTTTCTGAATATTGGACTTCTAATATCTCCTTACAAGCATCTTAACAAACTTTGTGGGTGAATATCACAACAATTCGGTGTCATGCTTTTGATCTGAGAGATCTTAAATTCAGATGTTGGTATTTTTTTGAAACCACAGCTAATTATTTGTGCAGTAAGATCAGTTCCACTGCTTTAAAGATGCTAATACACTTAGTACAGTACCGTTCCTCAGACTGTGGACTGGATTCCTGTCCCTACCCGCATAGGCGTGCCATTATTATTCCTAGAAGTTATTATTCCTTTGCTGTTATCACTCCTAAGAATGATAACTTTTATGGAAGTTACCATTCTTAATCATTCACTGCCACCTCTGAACTTGGGAGCCTCTGTTTCCCCTGAAACACCAAATGGAGCTGCTCATGAGAATCCTCCCATCCCCATATTTTTAGTATGATCTAGATGAGTTTAAGCAGTAGGTATTTGCTGATCCAGCTCATTTTGACAAAAGCGTTTTAGACTGTTTATGTAAGCAGGCAGAGTTAGGAAATAGTTTCTGGTAAAGGAGCACTGATGAGCAGCAAAGGGTTGAGCTGGTGAATGTGTCCTTTTTCACCAGCACGAGGTTGTCTGTTATACCTTCAGCGTAGCTACAGTGCTGGTGATGAGTTTCAGTTGGTACTGATTAAATTAGTCCGTAAAGGAATAAGAAATAAATTAGTATTTCTCTAGCAATTTATGTAGCAATATAGCTATAATTTAAAAGTAGTACAAAGCACCACATTTCAAAACTATTTAATTACTTAAAACAGTTTGTAAACAAAGAGTTAACTAACGTGATGCTTAGCTTTGGGCATGCAATGTTTAGTTGGTAATACCTAGTTTCTGAACATTTACCAAACTTTCAAAACTGGTTTTCAGTATCTGATAAATACGCACTTCAGTATATTTTGATTATATATATATAAAATCTATGGCTGATTTGGGTTTGTTTTGGGGGGGTATTATTTATCACAATTCGAGAGTAAGCAGTTTGGTTTAGTGGGGGAGAAGGAATTTGTTCTCCTATCTGTCAACAGTAAACTGTCAACAGTAGTTTAGAAAGTTTCTTCTGTATGCTTATGGAATATCCTAGGATAAGCTTTAACGGTTTGGAAAACGTGAAAACACAAACATCATTGTCATGTCAACATGTAATTTTTAAAGCATACTGTTAAAAGTTGGAATTCTGAGGGATTTGGACTCTAAAGAGAAGCTGCTATCATTTCAGAGTGCTGTAGCAGCAATATTTTTTTTTCTATATTCATTGAGTCTCATTTCCACATTTAAACTGATTTTACAGTAAGTAAAATGCTTTCAAGGTTTAATGAAATGGAATTTTATGCTCTTAAATGAAGGCTTTCTGGTTTGCTTCTGTGCATCAGCTGCTTCATTGTATTTTTGTTGCAGCCACAGTATATATGCTGATCTGCTCAGAATTTATATCATTAGTTACTTTGAAATCTCATTAAAAATTATCCTGGAAGTGACTTGCAGTTCTTGAAATTTGGAATACATCATTAGAGTTTTCAGGGAAAGACGGTTTGGAAGGTCCCAGTACTGGGAAGCAGCAAGCTAAAAGTAATAAAATAATTCAGTTTGGGGCAAGGAATTACGTTTATAAACATTTCCATTAAAGTGAAGGTTGGCCTTTTAATATGGGGTTAAAACCTTAGCATTGAATGATGAGTTATAGTTTAAAGAGAAAGTTTCTTGGAACTAGATCCTGCTTTTAGTTTTGGTGTTCAGGAAGCCTAAAGAAATTATTTCATATCATAAGGAAGTAAAGCGTGCTTAGCAGCTACCTGAACCATATCTTCTAGATGTCGATGTTGAGTATCACTGGGTTTTGGGGTGGTGTATATTGGAAATGGATGATATCAAACCAGTACCTTCAAGATCATTGGAAAATTCAGGCTGACCATGAGAGTGTATAAAGTTTGTGGCAGGGTTCTTGTTTTATACTTGTAACTTAAATGGCTGAATCAGTTTCTGCATGGGGATTGAAAGAGAAGGGCATAAAATCAGGTTAAAATATAGACTAAAAGTTCAAGAAAAATACTTGCACTCAGAAATCTCCAGAGCACTGATGTGCTGTACTTCTGTAAGAAGGATCAGAAACTAGAGTTTGGGCGCATAACCTCAAGCTACTTGATGCAAATGAGGGAGCATATCCTCAGTTTTTTGCAAAAAGGCTTCCTCACTGTTCGAAGCATACTGTCAACTAAACCAGTCTTTGGATGCAGTGCTAACTTTGGCAGTAGAAGAAATGGTTGGATACTCTCTGAAGATTGAAGGCAATGAGGTAAGATATGGCTTAAAACAAGTTGTAAGTGAAGAATCCAAACTGACTCAGTAATTTAGCTTGTGATTGTATTTCATAATAATATAAATTGTTTCTTCCGGGGTTATGAAAATGAAAATAAATGTATGCACAGTATCTTATCTGTCTTACTTGATGCTGATAAAATGTATTACACCGGTGTGATGAAAGTGTTCAAATTACTGAAGATAGAAGTTTTAATGCTGTATAAAATCGATGCTCTTTTGTATGTTTTCTCCCTTTGTAGGCTAATCAGAAAGTCAGACGCAGCTCATACAGTGCAGATCTTGTTCTGAAAGTAAAAGTGCAAATTTTTTTTCCTTTGTGTGAATGGATGTAACTTTATGACTAATGGAGAATGTTTCTTTATGTTTCAATATTGTATATGCAAGATGTTGCTAATTGTAAAGGGCTTGACAGGCTGCTCACTGGATTTGTTCTGGACAGAAAATTTTGAAGAAGCATTTAATGCAAAAAAAAAAAAGCCATTTGTCTAACAAAAAACTGTTTTACCTGAAGCTACATGCTCCGAACAGATTATTGATTAAATTTATATCATTTTATGGACTGAATAGAGCTGCTTTGAAATCTCTAAGACTTACATTACCTTCCTAGGTTTTCCTGCTGTAGAAATATATCCTTTACATGCATATAGACATTAGGGTTGATGATACGTTTGTCATACTTGGGGGAGAATTTGAAAAAACGTTAGTCTCCTCATACAGAGTATCAGCCATATACATGCTTAGAATAATTTTCTGTGGTCTGACTTCGGAAGTGAGAAGAAAGTTTAACTGAAAAATAGATGAGCATCAGATGTGAACCCCAAGAGCCATAGTTTAAGAGTGCTGAGAATATTTATCTTTGAGGCAAAAATCAGTTTTCAGTCGGAGTTTTAAATCTAAAATTACATTTTTCTCCATCCCTCCAGGCAGACCTCTTCATCCTTATATGTGCTTTTCATGATTTAATTTTTCTTCCTTCTGAGAAAAAGTTTGCCCTAGGAAAATATACTTTTACATAGTTTCGGAATAATGTATCTTCCTAAGGACTGTACTGGTAAAAAAACTTCAAATCTCCTTCTTTCTTGTCTTGCATAGAGACTTGCCTTTTCAAGAACTGATCACTTTTCCTTTTGTGAGTTTTTCATAACTTCAAATGCAAAGGGTTCCAAGATGATAAAAGATAGGAATAACACACAAAAAAAGATGAAAAAGATAGCGGATGAACCTTTTTCTGTTTTGTTTGTTTGTTTATTTTTCCTCCAAAAATGCATAAGCACATTATTACAAGTTAGAACAAACTTTTTAGCTTTTATTTCTGATACATCTTTACAGTAATATTTTATAAAACCATATTGATTAGAAACAGATTTTTCTCCCCCTTAAATTGAATTACTTTCATGAAATAACATATATTTCTGCTAAAGAACACAAACAGAGGATTAAGACCTCATTTTTTACTCTGGAATGGTATTCAGTAATCTTGAATCCAGCAATTCATAGTATTTACAAATACAGATATTGTTCTGAGTTTGTTCTTCTGGCTAATAAACTCATAAATATCTGTTTGTTCTCTGTGTTGTTATACCGATACATTTCCTTTCCAATTTGATTAAAGAAATTATTTCTCTTGTTTATCTGAGTTCTTAGTCTCTCTGTCCCCTTGCATAAATATTACAGAATTAACCATCAAAATATATCTCACAGTCCAGAACTTGCCAAAATGTTTAATATACAATGCAGACCATGTCAAGCCCTTAGTTGTAATTAGTTGTAGTATTCTGAGTTTACATATATAACTGTTGATGATTTTGTTGCATTTACTAGGTTTGCTGGGATGGGTAATCTTCTTAAGGTCCTTACCAGGGAAATTGAAAACTATCCACATTTTTTCCTGGATTTTGAAAGTAAGTTCAAACAATTACAAGACCATGAGAGAATCTTTTCTCTGACTTAACAGCAAACTGAGGAAAAACTTTTAAAACCTGATTGCTTGCAGTGTGTATTTTCCAGCAAAACCAATCTGTCCAGTTCCTTGTCTTTAAAACCATTTGTTCACTCAGGACTCCTTTTCTCTTCCTTTTCTATTTTTCAGGAACCAAATGGGAAATCTTTTAAAAGTTCTCACTTGCACAGAGCTTGATCAGGGGCCAAATTTTTTCCTTGACTTTGAAAGTGAGCAAAGCTTCTTGCCTGGCTTGCCTTTTTTGCTTATTATTTCCTAATAAACTGCATGTGCTTACGCATCATAAAGCAATTCAAAAGGGATTTGCAAACAAATCAAATTACACTTCAACTGAAAAGTGCTTTTTGATATTTATAAACCATACAAAATTACTTTTAATTCATTCTGAGAAGGGACAGAAAGATAGATATGAAAGTAAAATCTTACCTTGAATTAATTTCAAAACCCGAGCCATTGTTAAATTTACATATGAATGATCTTGACTTCAGCTTTCTTTAGCAAATCAGTTTAAAAAGAAAAATTCTTTAAGTTGCTTCCTTGAATGGAAATATGTGTTGGAAATAAAAAGCTGAAAACATATAAGCAGTGGAGGTGGCACAACTTTTGCCTGGTTCAGCGATGATTTAAGTGGGATTATTATAGTTTCTGAAACGAAGGGAAATGGTCAAAGTGTATGTGCTTGATTGCATCTCTCTTAATTGCATGGTTATCAGTTTGCGAAACAGTGTTCCACATTCTAATTCCCTTGTCACATCTATATCTGATTCACAGCTATTTCACTTTTGCTGGTTGCAGTTTCCTTGCATGTACTTCAGATATTGTCTTGGAAACTGGTTATCAAATCCTTAAATATGGGTTCAATCTTACTTCACCACTGCTATGAAATGATTTTTATTTAAAATGCTAACAGTGTGTGATGTTTTGTCTCTTAATAGCTTCATTCTAGGAAAAAAAGATCAACAAAAAATGTTGTGAGAAGCCAGTGTTTTTAAAATAACTTTGTTTTGAAGTATGGTTTAAGAGACAATTTCAGGTGATTATAGACACCTATTTTATCACCTTGAAAGTTTTCTTGAATCACTTATTCCTGAATTATTTTTCTGAAAATTACTGACATGATGCGAGATTGTGTGTATATACACTGAAGCACTGATTCAAGAAGTCATTTAAACACATACTTCATGAAGTTGTTCAGACATGCTTTCTTGGATGAGAGCTGGAGTGTATGACTATAACTTTGCACATATTTTAATCTTCTCATTTAGATATTATTTACCTCATTATGAAGAACGAAAAAAAAATTTTGATAAGTTGGTTTGGGTTTAAGAGAAGGTACTGTGAGCCATGTATTCCTTTTTCTTTCTGTATCATTTGAGAATTTTATTGTAAACCCAGAGTGTCAAACCTTTATCCAAATCACCACATCTTTTTTTTTTTTCCTCTCAAACATTTGGAGGCTTTGGTAGTGCTCTGTAGCTTTGCCAAGCTATTATTAAGGTTTTCAGCTGCTCTGAGCTCCTAGGTTTAATGAGCTCCGTCATGTCCTGGATGGTAAGAATATGCTGCTGACCCAGGCTGCAGACTTGGCAGGAACAAGAGGTCTGGCAATGGGAAGCCTTTATGGCATGGAGGTGGCAGTGAGAGGGGAAAATATCTTGTTTATTGCCTTGGCAGCAGAGGTTGTTTGGTTTATTTCCTGAAAGTGCATTGCCAAGAGCTGAATGGGGTCAAGCACCCTCTCCCACTGGAGGTGACCAGTAGTTAGTGCAACATGGGCATGACATAGTCAGGTATGTCTGCCTAGAGAGGAACAAAACTCATCTCCAAATTTCAGTGAGTTTGATGCGAGTGAAAGGTTAAAATGTTTTACTTGTGAAATAAAGTTCTGGAGGTTTTTAAGGCATGAAATCTGTATTGTGTTGAAGGGATGTGACTGAAGACGTCTGTAGTTTTGTGCTTTTATCTCCTTTAATTAGCCATCATACAGTGTAAAAGAATGGATGCTTTTAGTTAGTGGACATAGATAAGAGCCTGCTTGCATGCTTCCTGGATGTGAGTGACTTTCTGTGGCCTGAGTTTTCAGTTTGAGTTCATGAATGAAAATGGTGACTACAGTTGGCCATTCAGAGCATAAAGGGGTATGTGGAGTTGATTGTTTAGTCTGTTTTGTTACTTGCATTGGCATAGTGTTTTCTAATTTTTGCGCACTTTTTCATTAGCCATAAGTTGAAATCTCAAATATGTCACTACTACTTCTGAGATGTTTACAGAGGTTTTGGATACTCCTGCCCTGTTTTGCTGGGGGTTTTTTGTGCTCTTCATTTGGTATGTATTCTACCTAAAAGGAGGGTGTATAACATACTTCTTCCTGCTGTGTGTACAATGTGCCACACAAATACTGCTTAAAAACACAGCCTTTTTCCTCATTTGCAGGAGTAGACAAGATAGAACCTGTTTCCATGCCTCAAAAATCAGAATCTTTATGGGTTGGTGTTGGTCAAAAGTGATACAAGTGTTTATAGAAAGAAAGTGGAAAAACATCACGGTGTTAACTCCATTTAACAGTTGATTTACTCTCTGCTGCTCCAAAGGGGATATCCCATGGGTGATGATTTACCACATAGTCTCATACCTTTATGCTAGAATTGAAATGTAGAGCCACACAATTGCACCCATTGTGACTGTTAGCTGCATGGGAAAATGAATGTACTAAGAACTAGCTATTAAACAGACACCCCCGCCCCCTCCCAAGCTTAACATTCTCTCCCCCACTTACTAAATACTCTTCCAGTCAGATCAGGGTGATGTGGATGATGGCATGGTTGGAAGAGCCCCAGCAATGGCACATGGATGGAAACAGAAATGCAGGAGAGGATAGCAAACATTTGTACAGATTTACATATTTTAGGTCAGTCCTGAAGCTACACAGTAAGGTTAGTGTAGTAGGTTTTTATTCAGTTGCTTTCCCTTATTACCCTTAACTAATACACGTCATAGGCAATTGTTGTGAGTTGTTCTTTGCAACAAAAATTATTGTGAGTTATTGTTCTCCAGGAGGACACTGGCACTGCATCTTTTGAAAAATGCCATTATTGGCTTTTGTGTTTGTTTTAAAATATACTTAATTACAAGTTGCTTTTCTTTGTTTGCATGCTCACTTTTCCCTTAAATATTTTTCACCAGCCTGAGGTTTTTTATATTTAGCCTTAGTCCTTTCAATATATTTCTTCTATGCAAATCTTGAGGTCTTGAAAAATGGGAAGGTACAAACAGAACTTAGAAAAGTAAGTTCTCTTAACTAATTCAAAGTTGTGGGTTTTTTTCTTCAAAAACTTTCAATGTGCTATAGTTGAGGATGAGCAAAAGTCATGAAAAAGAAGTAAGTTTCAAATTTCACCTTCCAGTTGTTGGGGGGTTTTTAATAGCTATTTTAATTTTTCCCTCGAAAAGTTTAGGCTACCAAAAAGATAATGTTTACAATTATCTCCTTTTCTCCCCATTTCCTGCAGCTGTCTATAACATTAGTTGTAATTCTTATGACATCTTTTGCTAGCATTCTTCATTCCAGATGGGGAACCATGTTTCGTAACTCCATAGTCATACTTGAAAAAGCTTGAACCCAGCATTAGTTTCAGTTAATGCAGTATAGCAGAAGCAGTTCTGTATGATCACCAGTAATCATTTCAGAGTTAAGCAGTTACTCTGGATCTGTGCAAAGAGACGCACTTTAAAGATCCATTTAGTCCAGCCTTGAAGGCTAACAGTGACAAATTGGAACAGTGGTAACTTCAGAGAGTGACATGGAGAATAGTTTTTCCTATGCAGGTGAAAAAGCATTTTCCTTGAGGTGAATACAGATTATCTGCACTCAACCAAATTACTTTTTTTTTTCTTTTTTTTTAGGGTCTACTGAAAGGTTAATGTAAAGAAAAAGGATCTCTTAATTCCCAGAAAGTGGACTGTATTGCTGTTTTAGACTTGAATCTTAGTACAGGCATTGTTAATCGAAACACTACATACTGGATTGATTATATGCCTCTTATTTTGCTTAATACCTTCTTAGTTCTCAACTAAAAAATAATGTTAGGAAGAGTGAGTGGATGGCAAGTCTTGAGAGTCTCTGCATGCCAGCATTTCATGAGCCCATAGGACAAATTCTCTTGAAATGGATTTTGTCAGTTCAAGAACCATTTTGTTCTTTTGATTTCAACCTTGTTTAAAACACTCACAAGTAAATTAATTTTGGATATTTGAAGCTCTTTCCACACTAGTTGTCAAGTGTTCTTTTTTTTGCAGAAAATCTACTGTCAAATTACTTTTGCCCATAGAGAGCCTATTTCAGGCAAAATAAATAATTCCACATGAATTCTTGGAAATACTTTGATGGTTGAGGTGAAATTATTTTTTTTTTAATTTATTTTTTAGCTTAGGATACTAAAGCTTACAGATTATGGGAGAAGGTGTTCTCAAATGACACCTTCAGTACTGTCCTTTCCTCAGATAATAAACAGCTTTTATAAGACCAAACTCTCTAACCTTAAACTGAGCAGTTCCCTTTTTTCCTAAATATTAGGGGGCTTGTTACCTGATCCTGATTTAATCCCCCTTATACTCCCAACAATCAAGGACACTTATTTTCTAGGATTTCCCATCCCCAGAATTATTAATGAATTTTTCAGTTATCGTTCATGTATGGTTAAAAGTTCTTATTATTAGAACATGTCTGGCAGGAGAGCAACTGCCCAGTTTTTGCATAATAGGGTATTAATACCCTCCCTCTGTAGGTGCAAGGATAGAGATGGATTCTGTTTCCAGCCAGCTGGAGATTAAACTCTTGTCTCCTGTGCTGTAGGGAGTACCCTAAGCAAGAGGCAATGGCTCAGTTAGAGAGAGAGGCTTGTCCACTTTGTCACACAGCTGAAGCCTAGCAATTATATCCCTTGCACAGCACCATGCCTGTAGCAAGTATTAACAATTTAGGGAGCTTCATTTTGTTACAGCTAGTTTAGAAAGTTTAGATTCAAAAATCCATTGTAGGGTACTGTTTCTACCTAATACTATTCTTCTTTAATGTATGGAGTGTAGCAGGTTCTGATATCCTCTAAAAGGCATTATTCAGTGTAGTTGTAGTCACTTTCGTCTTTTCTGAGGACATAAACTAGCTTTTTTGTCTAGTTTTTCCCAGATTGGAATAGGAAAAACCACTGCCATGGTGACAAACCTGAAATAAGACTTTAGCATTATATGATAAAAGAGACTTACTGCTCTCATAACTAGTCAGTGACTAGTGGAATTATTAGCCACCTTCAGCAGTGGATAGAAGAAGAGCTGAAAGTGGAGCCTGGAAAGCATCTTGTTTTATTCATTCTTCCTCTGCTAGGCTGTCGAGGCCAGGAGGGTATGATGTTTTTTTGACAAATATGATTCCACATTCACAGAAATGAAAGCACTAACCAGCTTCCATGGGAATCCTAATCTGCACAGTTTGCCTGAGGGGAGAAAAACATTCTATGCATCTGGTCTGCATTTCAGATGCAGAAAGGGTGTGTAGATTAGATGCGATTTTTAGCACTGTCTTACCTTTTCATACACATTAATTATTTGGATATTATACTTGATTTTGCATTGATAAAAGCTTCATATGCTTCTTATATTTAATCTTGTCCTGTGAGTATTAATGTATTACCTTCATTGCAGTTTCTGTTTCTTTGAATTCTTCATTTGGTGAAGAACGAAAACTCAAAACTGTTCAGAAAACTATTAGGGTTTGTTGTTTTTTTTTTTTGAAGGGGAGAAAACAAAACAAAGTACAGGTATTTGTCTAAACAGGAACGATGATTGCACATTCGTACCCCACCAGACACCTGAAATACTTAATGCATCCAGAAATGGATTGTGACGGGTCCAGCGTTCCACCTTCTTTTAATGAAAGTCTGAAACCCCATCCAAAACATGGAATAGACCATAAGAGGAAAGAGAGCATTTGTTCATGGAATGGATGAATTGTCATATCCTGATTATTTCCGATGGAGCCAATGAAATTGCATTCCTCCCCAGAGATAAAATTTTTGCTTTCTAAGTGAAAATTTCCTGGTAGAATGTATATGTAATGTATATGGTGGAGTCAAGCACGGTCTGACTCTTGAATTAATTTGATAGAGGATTCATTTAGTTGTCAGGTTTAGGATTTGCTTTAGAAAGATTTAGGCAAAGGTGAAAGGGTTTCCCATTTGTCTTATTAAAGACAGTGTACTCTGAATGCTAATCATTAGTACTCAAAGCTCATGAAATGCAGTAAGTCTGGTGATTTTGATAACTTATTATTGAGAGGGCTTGCATTCAATGTGGATTAGTCAGTGCCTGTGGTTTTATTTATAAATTGGCTCAAATTGCCTAAATGCATGCTGGTTCTATGGGGTATGGGGTAAGAGGAGAGCACAGCCAAGCACTGATTCCATGCTGTGATTCACGAATGGCATTTTTTTACTCAGAACAGGTTTTGGTATTTTTGGAATAGAAAACCAGTTTTAAAAGCCAAAAGCTGTCATGAAGAAATCTATATTCTTTTTAGTTGTTGTTGCTGCAATTACTATTATTGTTGTTGACAGCAAAATGAGATCTTTTTCAAAGTGATTGATTACAGGTATTTTAGCTGACCATTTCTGGCGAGATCTTTGTATATATCCCTTTTGAAACACGGCCGTGATCTTATCAGAACATCTGTTTGCATAACATATATTTCATAAGTAAGATGCATGGGTTTTTTTTAAAAGCCTGAATCATCCTCCCAATCCTTATTTGTAAGCTAAACACTTTCAGCACTTTCAGCATTAATATAAACTGCTTCTGCAAGTGCAAGCTAAGCCTGTTGCTCTGTAGCTTTTGCAACCCTCTTCCTCTCCCTTCCCTTTTTTTCCCTTTTCCACCCACCTACCTTCCTCCTACTCGTACTTCCCCACGTGCTGAGATCCTACAGAAAGCTTAGTGGGTTTCAAATTCTCAACCTTCCCCAACTTATAGAACTGGGAAATTTTTAAAAAGACTAACAATAGGGGTGTTAATAAAAGTAATTTTTAAGTTCCAAAATGCTGAGCTGGCTATAGTGTTAAATTTTTTATTAGAGGCTAACATTTTTTAAAGTAAATAAATTGTAAAAAGTGCCTTAGAAGCACCGTGTTAACCAACCCCTGCTTCAGGTGATGTAAGTGCAAATTTTACACTTATGAACTGTACTGATAAGTAACTTACTCTTTTATGTCTTAATATTCACTGAAAATGTTACTTTATTTAACTTATATTTAACTATTAAAATACAGATACTGATTTATAGGTGACACCTGGCTTCCCTCACTCTGTTGTTGAATGGCGTGTAACTGCTTAGCAAGATTGCTTTCTCCATTAAATTCAGAAGTATTTACTGTTTTGTTTATCACAAGGTGACAGATCCCTTACTGTGTACGAATGAGATTTCTTGCAGCTTGGGGAAAGAACCAGTCAGTAACACTGTAAACTTAAACTGGCTAATAGGTTGGTTCAACAGCTGTGTCCCAGCTGGGATTTTCCTGTTAGGGACAGTTTTTCCCTTTGGTGCTACTTTCCCTTGCCTTTTGTTTTTTGTTTTTTGTAGTTATGTAAAGTATTTTGGATGTAAAACCCTGCTGAGTAAGCTTGGCTTACTTTTGCTTTCACTTGTTCTGTCTTTTAAACAAGATTAGAGAAAACTTCCATAGTGAAACAAAAGTGAAATCAGATTGTTTTGTGTGCCCAATCTCATGGGACTCACTGTGACGTAGGAATATAAGAAAGATTTTAAGTGTTAGTTTCTTCAGAGCCATGGACATGTAAATCTCACCCGTATGTCTCATTCATGCAAGGTCCCTAGATAACTTGAGACATTTAAACAAATTATCCTAACCTGAAATGTCATGGAGAGAAAGCTGCTCTTTCCATACACTCAAAAGTGAAGTGATTTATTTCTTTCTAAGGGGGGGTGGGTAAATGAACACAGTTATGATAGGTGGGTGGAAAATTGTGTCTTATTTCTTGATGACAGTGAGAAGATTAAATAGAAAAAGTACTTCTAAAATTTCTTGTCTTTTAATGTTGAGATGTATACAGTAGCCCTTAATCGGTGTGTTTAGCACTGAAGGTATTTCATTGCCTTTAATTCAGACAAGTAGCCCTTAAGTCCTAAGATGCACCTTCAAAGTACTTTTTTCTTCCATAATAATTAAAGTTCTATCTTTTACATGCAAATACACATTTAAAGGGAAAGAAAAAAAAGTGTCTTTATAGTAATCTTCCAGGACAACGATTGTTTCTACAAATACTGATTACAGGTCTATATGTAGGTCATCCAGTCTTCAGTCAGTGCCAGTTGTCTTGATGTTTTAAAGCAAGAGAAGGTAGAAGATGTCTAGCATGTTGATGTTCTAGGGACAACATCACTCTCTGGTGTGGCACTGCTGTGGAAATCCCATTGGATGGGATTTGAATGGGAAAATTGATCTACTTCCAAATGTCATTTCTCTGAACAATAAAGGTCTGTAGGTCACTCCCTCCCTGAAAACTGATCATTGACAGAGCTGGATTTATTTTTGTAACAGGAATGATCTCTGACATAAGAAAAATGTTTATTTTTAACAATACTGTATCTGTGTTATACAAAAGGAGAAATAAATTACTGTTGTTAAGGAAGCCTGGAGGAAAGTCAAAGTGGCATAATATCCCCCTGCTCTATCCTCTGAAAAGCTGATTTTATCCCCAAGCTGCAAGAGAAGTGAACAACTCTTTGTAATTGAGCTGTAGAGCTCATGAAAGAAGAACGTTTTTACTAAAGGATTGATGCATTATCTATTTCCAAGTAACATTGCTTTATGATACTGCCTCACTTTAAAATGCTGCGTTTTGAGAAGAGTCATTATGAAGCAGAGTATACAAAAACCGTAGAAAGCAGAAACTTGAAAGTTAGCAGAATAGCAGTGCAGTATAATTGTATCGTTTATAAAAACACATCAAAATGGAGTTACACATAGTCAAGCTGGGTATAATGTTAAGTGGAACTGAGTAATCTTGCCATTTGCATTGAAGCTACCTTTTGACTTTGTACATTTTGCTTTTCTGTTTCTTAGATGCACAGCCCACGGATGGAGAAAGGGAGGTATGGAATCAGATCAGTGCAGTTTTACAGGACTCGGAAAGTATGCTTGCAGACCTTCAGGCGTACAAAGGAGCTGGACAAGAAATTAGAGATGTATGTTTGTTAATGACAGTTCTTTGGAAGCAAAATCAAGCGAAAAATCCCCAAGCACGTTCTATGAAATGTTATGATTTAGAATCATAGAATGGTTTAGGTTGGAGAGGACATTAAAGCTCATCTAGTTCCAGTCCCCTGCCATCGGCAGGGACACCTTTCACTAGCAGAAGTTTCTCAAAGCTTCTTCCAACCTGGCCTGTAACACTGCCAGGGATGGGTCAACCACAGCTTCCCAGCAGATCCTGTTCCTATGCCTCACCACCCTCCTAGTGAAGAATTGCCTTCTTATATCTAAGCTAAATCCACCCTCTTACAACCTATAGGCAGTAGCCTTTGTTCTATCAATACATGCACTCATAAAAACTCCCTCTCCGCTTTCTTGTTGGCCCCTTGTGGTGCTTGAAGGCTGCTCTAAGATCTCGCTGGAACCTTCTCTTCTCTAGGCTGAACAACCCCAACTGTCTCAGCCTTTCTTCACAGGAGAGGTGCTCCAACCTCTGATCGTCTTCGTGGTCCACTCTTGACCCACTTAAACAGGTCCACATCCTTCTTTTGGGCCCCAGAGCTGAATGCAGTACTGCAGGTGTAGTCTCAGGAGAGCAGAGTAGATGGAGGGAATCACCTCCTTGTTGAACTTCATGAGCTTCACATGGGCCCATCTCTCAAGTCTATCTGAAAACTCAGAAAATATAGGTTATGTGTACCATTGAATACAAAGACCTAATTATTTTTTTATTTTTTTACTTCTTTTTGCTTCTTAAGCTTACTGTTAGTAATTACTATAATTTTCCACTTTTAATAGCACTGTTTCATATGCCTCATTTCATATATCTCATGGTAGAAGTCAGAGTTGAGGACGTGGAAGAAAATATTCAGATGTCAAATACACTATAGAAGCAGTTGAAAATAGCATTCTGTGTAAGTGAAATAATGAACCACAGTAAATTATAACCTTACATACACTTTACAGGCATCTTACTCTGTGAAACTGGTCCAAAAGTACAATTTTGAACTTTTAACTTAAATTTTAAATATTCAAGGCCATGTTGGGTGAGGCTTTGAGCATCCTGGTCTTGGAGCCAGATGTTCTTTAAGGTCCCTTTTAACCCAGACTGCTCTATGATTCTGTGTTTTTTCTCAGCTAACCAAACATTTTTCTGCATCAGCTTCACAGTTACTGTTAACGTGTTGGTTGCTTGAGAACCTGAATGTGTTGAAGATTTCAAAAGCATAAAACCCTTTATAAAAGAACTGTCATGGTTTAAACCCTAGCCAGACAGCTTGTTCACTCACTCCCAGTGCAACTCCTACGGGTTGAGACAAGAACAGTCCAGCAACCAATGTACAACACAAATCACCACCGCTACTACCAACGACAACAATGATAAGAGAAAATAACACCGGCCAAGAAACAAGTCCCACCCGGAAGCCCGTGTCCTTCTGGGTAACTCCCAGTTACCCCCCACCCTGGGCATGACGTGCTGTGGTATGGAATACCTCTTTGGCTAGCCTGGGTCAGGCGCCCCATCTCTTGCTTCCTCACAGCCTCCCCTCCTCCCTGGCAGAGCATGAGCCCCACAAAGTCCTTGGTCAGGGTAAACATCACTTAGCAACAACCAAAAACATCGGTATCACCAGCACTGTTCCCAGGCTGGAAGTCAAAACACAGCACTGCACCAGCTACCACAAAGGAGAAACATGACTGCTACTGCTGAACCCAGGACATTATCCACCCCTTATTCCATACCATTCACGTCATGCTCAGATCCCACATTTTCAGTACACCATCGCTCTCCCACATATATACATCCATATACACACAGACCAAGAGAAAAAGATCATTTTCTTAGTGCATGGACCAATCCCTATAATGCTGCTGAGTCCATTCGGTCCATGATGTCAGGTTCCACCTCTTGTAACAATCTTTCAGGGCAGGAAAGGCTGTGTGCAGTATTGGATTGTTGCCTGCTGATGCTGGTCGTTCCTTTACTGTGGAACTCATCCGGTTCTATCAAAGTTCATTCTCTGTTGGGATGATAGTTGGAGGGAAGTCAGGGCTAGTCGCTGGTGACCTGGAGACGTCTAGCTGATGAGCTATAAAAGTATTACACAGCAGGCAACAGCATACAATTAAGTTCACTGGCTGTTTTCCCCTAAAATCAAATCCCCTTGAGGTATACATCGGACTTCCCCATCTTCCCGCATTACCCACCAAGTATATCCAGGTCCCTGAGCAAAAGCAATCCCACGAGTGGGTTTGCCTTTACCTGAAGCAGGAATAACTCAGACTGTCTTCCCCAGCAAATTCTTCATATGCACCATGGGAACTTTGTCCCCCTCTACAATATGTAAAAGTTCTGACTGGTCTGGGCCAGCCCTGTTGGCAGATGCTCTGGTGTTGACCAGCCAGGTGGCCTTTGGTAAGTGTGTGTCCCAGTGCTTGAAAGTTCCCCCACCCATTGCTCTCAGTGTAGTTTTTACAGCCCATTGTACTGTTCGATTTTCCCAGAGGCTGGTGCATGGTAGGGGATGTGATATACCCACTCAACGCCATGGTCTTTGGCCCAAATATCTATAAGGTTATTCCAGAAACGAGTCCCATTTTCTGACTAAATTCTCTCTGGGGTGCTGTGTCGCCACAAAATCTGTTTCTCAAGGCCCAGGATAGTGTTCCGGGCAGTGGCATGGGGCACAGCGTATGTTTCCAGCCACCCGGTGGTTGCTTCCACCATGGTAAGCACATGGCGCTTGCCTTGGCGGGTTGGTGGCAGTGTGATATAGTCAATCTGCCAGGCCTCCCCATATTTATACTTCAACCATCGTCCTCCATACCAAAGAGGCTTCAACCGCTTGGCTTGTTTAATTGCAGCACATGTTTCACACTCATGAATAACCTGGGCAATAGTGTCCATTGTTAAGTCCACCCCTTGGTCACGAGCCCATCTATATGTTGCATCTCTGCCCTGATGGCCTGAAGTGTCATGGGCCCACCGGGCCAAAAATAATTCACCTTTATGTTGCCAATCTAAGTCCATCTGAGCCACTTCAATCTTAGCCGCTTTATCCACTTGTTGGTTGTTCTGGTGTTCCTCAGTGGCCCGACTCTTGGGTACATGGGCATCTACATGACGTACCTTCACCACCAGGTTCTGCACCCTGATATCTTTCCACAGTGCAGCAGCCCAGATGGGTTTACCTCTGCCTTGCCAGTTGCTCTGCTTCCATTGCTTCAACCACCCCCACAGGGCATTTGCCACCATCCATGAGTCAGTATAGAGATAAAGTACTGGCCACTTTTCTCGTTCAGCAATGTCCAGGGCCAGCTGGATGGCTTTCACCTCGGCAAATTGACTCGATTCACCCTCTCCTTCAGCAGTTTCTGCAACTTGTCGTCCAGGACTCCATGCAGCTGCCTTCCATCTCCGATGCTTTCCCACAATACGGCAAGAGCCATCAGTAAACAAGGCATACTGCTTTTCACTTTCTGACAGTTTATTATATGGTGGGGCCTCTTCAGCACGCACCACCTCCTCCTCTGGTGACATTCCAAAATCTTTGCCCTCTGGCCAGTCCATGATGACTTCTAGAATGCCTGCACGACTGGGATTTCCTATTCGAGTTCGTTGTGTAATTAGTGCAGCCCATTTACTCCATGTAGCATCAGTTGCATGATGTGTAGAGGAGACCCTGCCTTTGAACATCCAGCCCAGCACAGGCAACCGGGGTGTCAGGAGGAGCTGTGCTTCAGTGCCAATCACTTCCGAAGCAGCTCGAACCCCTTCATAGGCTGCCAGTATCTCTTTCTCCGTTGGGGTATAGCTGGTCTCAGATCCTTTATATCCCCGACTCCAAAAGCCGAGGAGTCGACCTCGAGTCTCCCCTGGAGCTTTCTGCCAGAGGCTCCAGGTAGGACCGTTCTCCCCAGCTGCAGTGTACAGTACATTTTTTACATCTGGCCCGGTCTGGACTGGTCCAAGGGCTACTGCGTGAACTATCTCGCATTTAATTTGCTCAAAGGCTTGTTGCTGCTCAGGGCCCCATTTAAAATCATTCTTCTTCCGGGTCACATGATAGAGAGGGCTTACAATCGAACTGTAATTTGGGATGTGCATTCTCCAGAACCCCACAGCACCCAAGAAAGCTTGCGTTTCTTTCTTATTAGTTGGTGGACACGTTGCTGTTATCTTGTTGATCACATCTGTGGGGATCTGTCTACGTCCATCTTGCCATTTTATTCCCCAAAACTGAATCTCCTGTGCAGGTCCCTTGACCTTACTCCGTTTTATGGCAAAACCAGCTTTCAGCAGGATTTGGATTATTTTCCTCCCTTTCTCAAAGGCTTCTTCCGCTGTATCGCCCCACACAATAATGTCATCAATGTATTGCAGGTGTTCTGGAGCTTGCCCCTGTTCCAGTGCAGTCTGGATCAGTCCATGGCAAATGTTTCCACCCCTGGGGCAGTCGGTTCCAAGTGAACTGGACATCCCTCCAAGTAAAAGCAAACTGTGGCCTGCACTCTGCTGCCAAAGGAATTGAGAAAAATGCATTGGCAATATCAATCGTGGCATACCACTTGGCTGCCTTTGACTCTAGTTCATACTGAAGTTCTAGCATGTCCGGTACGGCAGCACTCAATGGTGGTGTGACTTCATTCAGGCCACGATAGTCTACTCTTAGTCTCCATTCTCCATTAGACTTTCGCACTGGCCATATGGGGCTATCAAAGGGTGAGCGGGTCCTGCTGATCACCCCCTGACTCTCCAGTCTACGGATCAATTGATGGATGGGAATCAGGGAGTCTCGGTTGGTGCGATATTGCCGCCGGTGCACTGTTGTGGTCGCAATTGGCACTTGTTGTTCTTCAACTTTCAGCAACCCCACAGCAGAGGGATCTTCTGAGAGACCAGGCAAGGTGAACAGCTGCTCAATTTCCTCAGTCTCCAAAGCAGCAATACCAAACGCCCATCGGTACCCTTTTGGGTCTTTGAAGTACCCTCTCTTGAGGTAGTCTATGCCAAGGATGCATGGAGCCTTCTGGACCAGTCACAATAGGGTGCTTTTGCCATTCCCTCCCAGTCAGGCTGATTTCAGCCTCCAGCACAGTCAACTCTTGGGATCCTCCTGTCACTCCAGAAATACAGATGGGTTCCACCCCTTGACAGGTTGATGGCATCAGGGTACACTGTGCACCGGTATCTACTAGAGCCTTATACTTCTGTGGGACTGATGTGCCAGGCCATCTGATCCACACAGTCCAGTAAATCCGATTGTCCCCTACCTCCACCTGGCTGGAGGCAGGGCCCCTCTAATGGTCATCACAGCGTTGGACACTTATGTCGTGGTGAAAGGGATTATTCTTCATTATCACAGGAGCTGGAGTAAAATCAGCTCTTCCACTCCATCTGGGAAACTGCTCACCAGCGACTGAAGCTGTAGCTCTCATGGGACGATCAGTCTTGGCCCTTGCTCCCCTCTTCAGTTCACTCACCCATTCCTCCAAAGCTGAAGTAGGTTTTCCATCCCACTTTGTCATGTCTTCTCCGTGATCCCGCCAGTAAAACCATAGGGTACCCCGTGGCATATACCTCCTGTATCTCCTCTCTCGAACAATAGGACACCTTTTGTTAATAGCTGAGACGTGTGTTGTTATATGTGAGGAGCTGGATAAATCAGATAGATCGTCCCTCAATTGTTTGAGGTCCTGGGACAGTTTTTCTGCAGCTGAGATGATGGAAGGGGTGAGATTGTCTTCGAACTCTCGGAGTTTATGAACCATTTCATCCACTGTTGGTGGTACTATGTCATTCCAGGTCACTGTTGCCAATGAATGGGCATATGATGATGGTGCATTCCGTGTAAGTTTTCGCCACATGCGTCTTGTACACTGGACTTCATCTGGATCTATGCGTGTATCCCCGTTATTCGGCTTGATGTGATAGATCATCTCTACGATGGCTGATTCCCTCAGAGACTGGATGCTTTTGTCTGTAGTAGTCCACTTGGCCGAACGACTCATAACATCATCCTTGTATGGAAACCTTTCTTTCACAGCTACCAAGAGCCGCCTCCAAAGGCTGAGGGACTTTTTCTCTCTTGCAATTGCTTTGTCAATTCCCCCTTCTCTAGCAAGTGATCCCAGCTGCTTGGCTTCTGTACCTTCTAGTTCGTGACCATCAGCCCCATTGTCCCAGCATCGGAGTAACCAGGTGATGATGTGCTCCCCTGGTTGACGGGTAAAATCTTTTCGCATATTCCGTAGCTCGGTTGAGTTCTGAGGTCGAGAAGTTACCTCTTCTTCTTCTTCTTCATCATGTGATGATGACTCCTGATCAGGTGCTGGACCGGGTGGTGAATTCATTGTTTCTTCATCTCGCTTCACTCTTCTTGCCTCTCTTTTGCTTGTTCTCTTGCGTACAGGGGCAACCGATATTGCTACAAAGTGGTCCTCTGGTTTGGCTGCAGTGATTATCACTGTGGTTTGAGTAGCAAGCTGTACTTGTTGCTGGGGGTGGTGCAGCTGCTGTGCTTGGAGCTGGGGTAGCCGCGCTGTCTGTTGCAGTTGAAGTTTGAGCAGCTGCTGTACTTGCCACTGGGGTAGCTGCGCTGTTCATTGCAGCCAAAGTTTGAGTAGCGACTGTACTTGTCGCTGGGGGTGGTGAAGCTGCTGTGCCTGGAGCTGGGGTAGCTGCGCTGACTGTTGCTTTGCCCTGAGATCCGCTGACATTCTTTTCCCTTTGAAGGTGCTGAATAGTGTTGAACAAGGCCCTGTAATCATAGGCCAAGCCCCAGCACGTTGCCGTGATTTGTCCATCTCTGGTATGGCCAGAATGACCACACACCTCATTTAAGTGTTTTACTAATTCTTCTGGATTTTGCAGTTGTTCGGTAGTGAAATTCTAAAGTACTGGAGGGGCCCACTGACCTAGATACTTGCCCATACTATCCCACACACCCTGCCACTCATGACTGTCCAGCCTCAGGGAAAATCTCTTGGTCCTCCTACATCGCCGTTTGACCCCAGACAAGACCCAAACCTGACTCTGCTTAACTCTTGAAATCAGTCGTAGGCAAAACACACTCTGTATGCGTGTTAGCATGGTGATTCCCATCACGATCAGCAAACAAGTCTCAACAGCATTAAAAGGCCATTCAAAAACTTCAAAACTCTCAAATATAAATGGTCTGGGGGGACGACTGGGAGGGTAAAAGGATGTCTCCTTCACAGGTTGAGCACCTGAGAAGGAGAAAAAAGATGTGTAATTGCTAAGCACTTCTATTATATTCCTCCCAAAGTATAAAGGTGGTGACCACATTGGGAACATAAGCCAGATCAGTTTCATGATCAATGATTCTATTGTATTACAAGTCATTACCATAAAGTACAATGAGACAAGAACCTTAGCCCAAGCCCCACACTTGAAAAACACTAATACAGCAAATACCAAATGGAAGTAAGATATGATATACTGAAACTGTGAGATCAAGAGGAACAACCTTGAGAGCCAATAAATCAGCATTGTGACGAATGACTATGAATCCGGTCAGATCTGTCGTTATCTCATCCCCTCGTGCCCCACGCTGGGCGCCAAAAGAACTCATGGTTTAAACCCTAGCCGGACAGCTTGTTCACTCACTCCCAGTGAGTGGTGCCGGGCTGAGAGCAATCAAGCCCCCCCCCCCCCCCCTCCCCCCGCCCCGGGGCTCTCCCCTTCCCCGCTCCCAGAGGAACGGAGGGGAGGATCAGAAGAGTGCAACTCCCATGGGTTGAGACAAGAACAGTCCAGCAACCAATGTACAACACAGATCACCACCGCTACTACCAACGACAACAATGATAAGAGAAAATAACAAGGGAAGAGAATACAATACCACCGGCCAAGAAACAAGTCCCACCCAGAAGCCCGTGTCCTTCCGGGTAACTCCCAGTTACCCCCCACCCCAGGCATGACGTGCTGTGGTATGGAATACCTCTTTGGCTAGCCTGGGTCAGGCGCCCCGTCTCTGCTTCCGCACAGCTTCCCCTCCTCCCTGGCAGAGCATGAGTCTCACAAAGTCCTTGGTCAGGGTAAACATCACTTAGCAACAACCAAAAACATCGGTATCACCAGCACTGTTCCCAGGCTGAAAGTCAAAACACAGCACTGCACCAGCTACCACGAAGGAGAAACATGACTGCTACTGCTGAACCCAGGACAAAAGGCTATTTCTGCAATCAGACAAAAGGTGTTACCTGATGCTTCTACAGTAGTTTTGCTCCCAAAAGAATATGTTAAGACATATTTCTGTACATAGTGGTGTATTGGAATGAATAATCTTAAATCAGTGCATTATGGGGAAAAGGAAAGATGGAAAGCATAGTAATTGTTGAACTTAGTAATTTCCTATTCCTGTGCAGTGTAATTTCTTATCATTGTTCTATGTTTTTTAATGCTTACTTTCTAAAATGATATGGTTAAAAAATCCCAAACCACCTTTTGCTTGTTATTTATATACCACAGTTCTTAACAGTAATATTTTCATTTCAGGCAATACAAAACCCCAATGATATCCAGTTGCAAGAAAAGGCATGGAATTCAGTATGTCCCCTGGTTGTAAGGCTGAAGCGCTTCTATGAGTTTTCACTCAGATTAGGTGAGTCCTGGTTTAGTATGTCTATTAGGTTGCTTTATATATAAAGAAATAGGAAGCTTCTTTTTCCACAGCCTTTTAAAGGGTAGTTATTATTATTTGTTTAATATGAACAGACATTTAAGTGCAATTAAATTTACCAAGGCATATTTTTAATCTTAATTTGATTTCAAAATTACCGTCGTTTGTTTGTTTGACACTTAAAATAAGTCTGTATTCTCTAATTACAGTACAAGCAAAGAATGCAATAAAATTGTGTCAGGTTTTTCTCTGGTGCATGTCACTCTCTCTGTGTTTCACTGTTCCATACTGTACAGATGGAATTTATTTTTTTGTAATTTGGGTACTTCAGAGTTTTAAAAGGAATGTAAAACAATAATACTTTGAGATATTTTAAAACCAGGGATAATGGGGTAACTATCTCAGGGAGAAAGGGTATTAATAAACTCTCTCACACAGTGAAAACCCAAAGTTTTACACTGACTTTTTCATCCCTACAAACCCAAAACATGGTGTAATTACTCCTTAAATTAGGACTCTGGAAGAGAACCAGTATGCAATATGTATGTATGAAGTGGGAGAGCTCCCAGTGCAAGGAAATTCTTCTACAACATTCTGCTTATTAAGTCTTTCATTTTTTGAGTTATGCTAGTAATTATAGCTGCGGGAGCCGAATTACATTGCTATCAGTGCCTAAGAGTACACTTTTAGTAACAGAGATGCCAGAATAACCTCTATACTGAGTTGATGGCTAATTGGGAAAGATGAAAGAGAAAGATTTGACTATCTGAATGCAGTAAAAATTCTTTCTCTAGAATTTTTGATAGAGAACCCAGATAAAGGGTGATAAAAAGGAGAAAAGAGCTCACTGCTAGAAAATGGAGAGGAAATGGCAGAGAGCCTGAACAGTCAGGTATCTGACTAATATTTCTCAGAATAGTAAGAAAAAGCATTTCCATTAGGGTTCTGCATGTTTGGAGGGTTCATTCCCTTCAAATAACATATATTTAGATATTTAAAATGTGTCATAATCTGGACTGAATAGAATTTGTGCTTCTGATTTTTATTCAGAGAAAGCCCTGCAGAGCTTATTGGAGTCGTTGACATGCCCACCTTATACTCCAACTCAACACCTGGAACGGGAACAAGCTCTAGCGAAAGAGTTTGCAGAAATCTTACATTTTACTCTTCGTTTTGATGAACTTAAGGTTAATAAAATCTTGTAATACATGATGTTTTTTTCTATGTATTTTGGACTGAAACTGATTATTTCCTGTTTTTCTTTCACAAAGATGAGAAACCCAGCAATTCAGAATGACTTCAGTTACTACAGACGGACAATAAGTCGCAACAGAATAAACAACATGCATGTAAGTAAATAAAACCTGATCTGCTGCTCACACTGAGGTATTTTGTCAGTGTGCATTTATACTGTTTGTGGTAGTATTCTTTCTTTTGATTTGCTAGATGTCATGTTCTGTCCTTCACACTGAGAGTTAATCAGCAGTTCACATGAAGCAAATCGAGTTGAACTATTCATGCAACAATCTGCTTGCTGACATGAGCATGTACTGTGTCTTTTTCCTGCTACTATCAAGAGTTTTGCTGACTATTTTTTCTCATGTTTTTCACCAGCTAGACATTGAGAATGAAGTAAACAATGAAATGGCCAATAGAATGTCCCTGTTTTATGCAGAAGCCACACCAATGCTGAAAACACTGAGTAATGCAACTACACATTTTGTATCAGAAGTAAGTAATGGGGTAGAAAAGGTCTATCACAGACATGCTTGATTTTAATTTTACAAGACCTTTTATTGAACTTTTGCTGGTTTTTACCCTTCTAGAACAAAACATTGCCAATTGAAAATACGACGGACTGTCTAAGTACTATGGCTAGTGTTTGTAAAGTCATGTTGGAAACACCGTAAGTTTTACATTAAATCTTATTCTTCTTGAGTGAGAGAATTTTGTATTGTATTTTACATAGCCATCTGGGATAAACACAGTTTCTTCCAAATGAATTCCTTTATGTATGCCTTAAGCTGCTAGCAACTTTATATACAAAGCATTGTATAGCATGTATATACATTTATATGCAAAGCTTTGTATATAAAAGTGTATTAGAAAGCCTTGCCTCCTATTTTAACCTCCTTATAATATTTTTAATAAATTTTAATGTATTATTATTTTAATGAATTCAGTTTTCTCAGGGGGAGCTTAACATGGTCAGCCTGCCTTTCAACAAAAGGCTAAAATTGTGTAATAGGCTTCAGTGTCTGTGTCTTCTCTAACAGGGCCTTAGGCTGCCTGCTGTTTCTTGTTTGCCTATGCCGCTCACTTACTAGCATGCATAGGGGAAAGATTTTGGCTTTTTCAAGTAGTGCTTTTACAAATGATACACATAGCCTATTTCAAAGATCATTTGTTTGGATGCAGCCATCTTATTCTGGATATGAGGAAGTTCATCTGTATAGAAACTGTACAATTGTGTTTGCATCTAATAGTGTAGGTAGGACCAGTGGGCTTGCTATTGTTTAGCTATGCATTTAGTCAAGTGTTTTTTAGGTTAGATGTTTACTTAAGTAGAAAACACATACGAGATAGTCAAGGTAATCTTGTCTTTGAATTGTTTGTTCATGGTGCCATATAAAGGACAGAATTCCTGAGGTTACTGTGTTTGTTTATGAAAGTTCTGGAAAAGTGTATATAGGTGGTAGGACTCATCTCTCAATCCCAGGACATCCTAGTAACTGGAGAGTAACCTTATGTGTCAGCTCATTTTTTTGCAAAAGTAGAGAAACAAAGTTGTGAGTCATGTACCAGAAGGTTATCTGATATTCAGTTCTAGTTGTGGGCTAGTCAGGCATTTTCAATATCAAAATGTCTGTAGCCTTTAAATCTCTTCATGTTATGATGCTGTGTAAGAATAAAAGTTGAAGTTATTCTAAACTGAAAGGTAGTACAGGACAGATTTTAGTATTTTAATGATACATTTAAGTGAAACAATCAAGTGTTATATTGAAAATCAGTGAATGACAGTAGACAAATTTATGTATTATATATTCTAAATATTCATTAGAAAAAGTGTCATATTTTCTGGGTTTTAGGATTTCTGTTTTTTTCTACTGTAAGTAATGTTTTTGTTTCCTGATGGTGGTTTCAGGGATTAGAGCCACAAGGGTCTTTTAACAGTGAGCCATCTGTATTCTTATTTTGGAACTGAAAAGTCAAAGGAAAACTCCTTAGAATTAATTCAGTACAGTTGTGTTTCATAGGCCTCTGCATTTCAGATTCTCAGTGAACCTGGATTGTTGAAGCTGCTTTTAGACTTAGAAAGAGATCAATGACTATGATCCACCAAGATGAAGTCCTGAATTTACTAGCTGCTGAAATAAGATCCCACTAAACCACATCAAAGTAGGACTTTGAGCAAAAAGAGTAGCTTTCCTTTAAGGTCCCAGTATGTTGTGTTTCTGATGTTAAGCAGAAGTACGATCAGTCTCCATCATGTGTCATGAATTGTGGAAATCTTCTGTGAATCCATCTCAGACATCTTGGTGAAGTGAGGATCTGAACTGTGAAAGGGGTATCGGAAGAGGTTTACATATCTTCATTTGCTTTCTTTCTAACCATTCTTCTAGATTTACTAGGATTTACGCAATTCAGAGATTTTTAAAGTCTTACTAAGATGCATCTTCAACCTTAAAATATAATTCTAGTTCAGATTTCTTGTGCTCATAGTCTTAATTTGTAGAATTGTTCAGTACAAAGTCAAGACTATTTCTTTTTTATGTTCTGTTTTCCAGAGAGTACAGGAGTAGATTCACCAGTGAAGAGACCCTTATGTTCTGCATGCGAGTAATGGTGGGAGTTATTATTCTGTATGACCACGTTCATCCTGTGGGAGCTTTCTCAAAGACGTCAAAGATCGATGTAAGAATGACTTTTCTGTAATACTCTGTAGATGTGAGAAAATTAGTCTACAGCTCTTCTTAAACACAAGCTTATGGCTTTGTATAAATCATTTTAATTACTTTTGAGTAGCAAAATTTGGAATTTATCTTCACCTGCATATATATATATATATCAGCTAGTTTGAAATTAAAATAAACATCAGGGTTTTTTTGGTTTTGTTTTGTTTTTTATTTTTATTTTTATTTTCTTCCAGACACAGATACTTGTTTTTCTGTTATCTCTGTTTTCCTGCCAGCTATATGGTTACACTAAAATAATTGTGTATTATTTTGTATTATACACCTACCCTGGAGTAAGTGCTACGGTCATAATTTTTTATTAATTACGTAATTTATTTATGCTGAAATGCTCATCTGTGACAGTATTTCTGCCGTAAATAAGCAGATACTCAACATTGTCTTTGTTTGGCTGAAATCTGAAGTAAGAGAACTGAAATGTTACTGTTGTAATGTTGATAATGAGCCTTCAGGTTTAGCTTTGGCATAAGCAGTCACAGGGAAATCAACCTTATTATTTAATTTCAGATATTGCAAGCACACACAAAAAGTATTCTGATCTTTGCTATGTGTTTTTAGAAACCAAAAGCTCATCTTTTAGCAGAAATAAGCTGTTATGAAAAACAAGATGCACTCTTTCCCTTTACAAGAAAGCCTACTTCAAAAGAAAATAAGTTATATACCTATGTTATGACATTCAGTCTTTGTTACCATTTTTCATCTGAAGATACCAGTATTTTACCGCATCTCCTCTTTGACTCTGTTTTACAGAGGGAAAGATATGTCACAAAGAGGTGAATTGATTTGCTCAGTCATGCAGCAGACAGAGCCTGGGAATTGAATGCAGACTTCCTGAGTGCTAATTCAATCTCTTGCCTACAGGGACAGCACAAGTAAAATTTTGATAGGACCAAGTATATAATGTGTGTACTTTGTTTCTCACATTTATCCTAAAACCCTGTAACCTTACAGGAAAGTTAGCTAGGTGCAGATGGAAGGCAGGAGATGTATGAATCAGTTTTTAAAAATGATTACTGATTCGAAATCTTAATTCACCTCAATAGTTTAGTGATTCTTTCCTAATAAAAATTCTTTTAATATTTTAGCTGATCAGTTTGTTTTATTGTGAAAAACAATTTTTTTCTCCAAACTAGTCACTTCTTGGGGGCTGTTTCAAGTGAATTTCAGGAACAGTGGAACAAATTGCCCTTTCCTTACTCTTTCAGGACTGGAGACTCCATTTAAAACTTCTCTTTTTTGACTGTTTTAGGGATTCTGATTCTAACAAAACCAGAAAAGAATGGTTTGAATTTTTACCCCCTTTGAGTTGGTCTGGTCTGATGGGGCATGTAAACCTGTTCCGAGTGATGTGAATATAGTCTTGAAAAAATCTTCAAAACATGTGCTGCTACCTGAGAATTTCATCTGTTCCATTAGTTGCAGAGTTGGTTTTGTCTTCCAGGTAGATATGAGCCAACAGAACAGGGATCAGGGACTGTTAGGCTGGCCATTGTGCAGGAGGCTGAGCTGCATTTTCCACGTAATTTTTATTGGCAAATTAACAGTCCCTGACTTCAGTTATGTATTTCATCATCCACTTCCATTATAAGGCAAGTTGCTCTTCAGCTGCAAAGAACGTACTGGCTTTTAGATTTAGCACTGTAATGTGACTTGGAAAATGAGACTTTTAAGTAAGATGGAATTCATCTAGACTAATTTCTCATTAGCTATTAGATATCTTCTTAGCAATGGAAAGAGAATAGGTACTTCTGGAGTGTGACTCATTATATATGAAAGTGTATTCTGGACAGGATAAAGGAATTTCTTATTTCTCTGTATTGACTAGACAGCGAGTTCTACGTCTTGTTTTTCTGCTTCATTTCTACAAATTTGGACAAAGTTTCAGCCTGTTGTACAGTCTCCACAAAGATATTCATTCAATGTGGTGTTTAAAATCAACATCATGGACTTTTATCTCAGATTAAATTCATAACCATTAGTTATGAAAAAAATCATAAGTTATCACCAGTTAGGTTTACAGCTGAAAACTGAATACTGAAAATTCCTTCTTGTGTGCAAGTGTATATATAAAAGTCAAAGTTAAAACATCTCTTTGATAGTTGCCAACAATAATGACATGGAACTTGCTTGCTTTTTTTTTTTTTAGCTTATATCAGCTGTTCTTGATAATTTAAGTTGGAAATGGAGAAATTATGTTAAAGATAAAATATATGTTTATTATCTACAAATGCTCGTTAAAGTAGATTATGTTTTCTCAAAAGTTAGCATTTTAACTTAATTTTTAGTAAGCTATGATTTTATTGTATCATACAAAGCAGCATTAATATTCAATAGTGAAAAAACCTGCCTGTGTATGGTGAAATGTTTCTTTATTTTCAGCTAGTGCTATTCATATATTATTGTTCAATAGTGGCATGCTTCTGTTCCCAGATGAAGGGATGCATAAAAGTTTTAAAGGAACAGCCACCCGACACTGTGGAAGGGCTTCTGAATGCTCTCAGGTACGTATGGAATAATTGTTTGATTCAGCCATAGCATATTCCAATTTACTTTTTTTCCAGATCTCTTTATATTTAAGACTTTTCACCTTAGAAGCTTGATTTATTAAGAAAATATGTTTATTTCATTTCACTTTGATAAGCAATCACTATTAGTAACGGAACTCATAATGTCCTTCTTGAGAGACACTTAAAGCTTGCTTTATTGCCTGAAGCTTATCTAAAAAGGTAAGTATGCTTTGTTATATAAAATACCCAAGCAACTAGAACATTTTAGAAGTATATAATTTATTTCTCAGATTCTTGATAATACCCTTTTCTCTTTCCCTTTTAATATGACCCTGTTTGTTTGTTTTTTGAAATTAGAGAAAAAAGCAATCCCAATCCTGTAGCTAGGTGTTTAAGGTGCTATCTTGGGAAGGAAGACGCAATGGTGTGACTTTTCTTCAGCTGATACAGAAGTCTTAGTTCCAGGTTTTTCAGAGCTGTGCTGAATTCTCTAGCTGTTGAATTCTTGAATAGAGTGAGAACTGCACCTTCATATTTGCTTACTATGTTTTTGAATTAAAATTGATGTGGAGTTAAATCCTGCAGGTATCAGGTGTGTTTTGAGCTTATGTGGTAATCAATCGGCCTACAAACATAAGCAGTGGAGAATGCTTCGGCTTAAATATAACCCCCCCCCCCGCTAAAGCTTTCCAGTCCTCCCAGGACATTTAAGAAAGCTGCTTAAAATTAGGTTTATACACTATGCCAAAATTCAGTCTAGATTACTAAATCCTTTCATATTTACCCTATTTCTTATGTACTTCCATGATCTTACTTCTTTTGAGACTTCTAACTGGAGGGAAAAAAAGATCATTTCAACCCAGAACGATGATAATGTCAGAGATGGATGGAAAACAGCATTTAGGCAGGATTTAGACACAGTTCTCCACCTAGTAACAGGGAATAATTTACTGCAAGGGATATATAGAAGATAAAGAACACCAGACTATTAACCATTATTAATTCCAGTGATCAGTGATGAGAGGAACATGTAAGTTTTTCTTTTGTGTAATTGAAATACATTGATTTCAAAAATAGGTACTGAAGTTTTCAGACTTTTCTAATCCCTGTTCATTTTATAAAATGTTTTAACTTGTTATTTCTAGGTTCACTACGAAACACCTGAATGACGAATCTACTTCAAAACAAATTCGAGCTATGCTGCAGTAGTGTCCTGAGACAAGTAGATGTTTGTATTGATCACAGAAGATGTGTATGTTTACATAATTTAATACAGTTTGATGTTAATACTTGTGTGTATTTACATAACCATTTCCTTCACATTGCTAAAATATATGAATCTATTCATAACCTGACTGACTTTATATAGCACAGCCTAAGTTTTTATGCTAGCCTTTATTTTTGACTTTTAGAATACTTTTTTACTTAGATACGTCAACTACTACAGTTTATCTGTGCATTTTAATCCTTAAACACCTCTCTATTAGCAAAGTAAGTAGTAGTGAAGACAAAGTGGAAATCAAATAAAGAGAAATGTCAAAGACAACACAGAAAATCAACTTGAAAAACAGAGAAATTTAACGTAAAGGAAAGTAAAATTCATGGGGTATGTTTTAAGAACGTGCACAGGTTTTTAGTCAGTTTATGAATAGGAGAATACCTAAATGTTCATCACTCTCATAAGATACGTTGTCTTTCCTGTAAAAAGTGGAGATCCACCTAATTTTAAGGCTTATATGCTGGCTGGCATCAAAAAACATATTGCAAAGAAGTCATTTTTCCTTTTTTATTAAGTATAACTTGTACCTTTCAATAATTGAAGAAATTAATATCCTTTTTCAGGTTCAGTATAAATAAACAGAGGAAGTGTTCTAAGACTGTTCCTAAATTTTGCAAATTCTGTATAATTGTATTAGATTTAGAAATGAAAGAGAAAATACTAATGCCTTGACTTAACTAGGAATGGTTTATCAGTGTATATATACAATGGTGAACATTATGTCTCAAACAGGTCTACTTAGTAAGTAATCCTTTTGCTGATACAAACTGGTATAAAGCGGAATACTCTTCTGTAGCAGCAAACTTCCCTGGAGTCAAATTGGTGTTAGAATGGGGATGATATAAATAAGTTTTAAGAGCTGAGCTGGTCTAAGGAACGTCATCAAGTTCCTTGATAGTATTATTCATTAGATGATTCAGAGTTAACACAGAAATATTTGTCAGCTGACAGCTCTCCATTGGTTTTCAGTTAGATGTGATTGGTAATTCAAGGATTTGAATTACTTTGCCAAGTTGTTTGTTCTTACTTTTTAGTAATTTTTCCATAAATGAAATAGAAATACTTTGCCAAAAGCAGCAGAGTGCTCATGCTCTGTTCAGTGTGTCTTCTGGGTGGTCTGCCATTGCTGTAAATATTCTTGGAGAGGTCACGTTCTGAAAACGTGTTTGGTTTTGTGTACTTTGCTTGCATGTATGTGTGAAAACTCCAGTGCTTGTGCACAGTTTCAGAGGTTTATTTGCTTATTCCTGTGTATGTAGTTCAGGGTTTGTGTGCTCTCACTGGAATTTCCATGCATATATCACTTCTAAAAACATTACCTTAAAACTTTGAAGATGCATTTGGTCTGCTGAAACTTGTCTGTGATGTGACAGATTGAGTCATTGAACTCAGTCCTTAAACAGTATTACCTTAGAGTTTATTTCTGAGCAGAAGTCCCACTATGAGGTTTCTCAAGCCTGATCAGAACCCTTAGGTGCCAATGTTAATATGTGTTGTGATACTGAACAGCACTGCAACTCCAGCATTCGTGTCACTTCTGCAGCTGTAGCAGCAGATCACTATGTTGTTGTCAGGAACAGAATTAGAAATCACACCAGGTTTTGGGGGGTTTTGTCTGGAAGCAGTGGTTACACTGCTTTTTCATGGTAGTAAATCCACTGTTTACAAGCTCCATTTTTAATGGGGGGACATTTAAAAATATATATTGGGGAGAAGCCTGCTTTGTTCATAGTCATTTACAGTTAGGTAAATCTAGGTGGATGACAGTTCATTCTATTGAGCTTTGGTAACTGAAGTTAATACATGCTTACCTGCAATTATTTGTCAAACAGTGAAGTCTTCAAGTAGCCCAGAAGAAAGCCATTTGTCACTTGTATAATAAAAATGTAAATCTTAAAGCATTCTGTGAGTTATCATGTGCTGTTAGCCGAAGTTACTGAGTCAAAGTTACTGAGTTTCTTTGCCTGCTCCGACGTTTTTGTACAGAAGTTTGTTTGAAATAATAAAAAGTTTGGTACATTAAGTATTGAGGCTGTCTAAAATCAACATAAACAGGTTGAGAAATATTTCATTTAAAGTTTTGGATCTGATATATAGTAGGCTCAGCTTTATGTATCCAGTTTATGCCGCAACAATATAACCTCACATCATGTAATTCCTGGCTTTTTTCTGATGATTCTGTACTTGTCTGTCGTCTTGACCAGGGGAAATCGTTGATGCTCTTTACAGAGTAGAGGCCATGAATCCCTTCTGTGATTTTTATATCTTCATATCAGTCATACTAGGCTGTAGTGGCCATCTCAGGTATTTATAATCAATAAGGTTGTCAGAGGATGATTCATTGAACCTTCAAAATAAGTGCAAATTAATTGCTCTAGGAAGAAGAGCTATATAGACTAATGGTCAAAGTTACTGATCTCCATTTTATTAGTGTTTCTTCTTGACTCATCATTATGTAAGAATACATATTTGTAATATGATCAATGTTTAAACCTCTTAATGTCAGCATTTCAGAGTGTGCATAAATGGCTGTGACTAGTTTGGGTCAGAATAGACCTAAAGATTTGCTTGTTTCGTGGTGGAAGAAAATATTGTTTCAGTATGGTATGAAATTGAAAGACTAGAATTTGCTGCTGCAAACAAATGAATGGGTTTGAGACATAATTTATGACTTAATGACATAATTTTATGACTCTCTGCTGCTCCTAAGTGGCTGTCACGAAGGATAGTTACTAAGATTATATTTACTGGTAACATCACTCAGATAAACTATCTGATGTTTTCCATGTCTACTAAAATTTACAAAGCAACAAAAAGTCTCATCTGTATTGCTTTTTGTGTTGTATTTCACAGAAGAAGGTTTAAATTGAAGTGTAAGTAGTATATAAGATGGTTTGCATTCTTTTATTTACCCCGAATTAAACAAAGTAGGACATAAATTCCTCATACAAAGTGATCTCTCTTCACCCTCCTCATTTACTTCTGGAGAAGTTTAATGGAATCAGCATATTCCTACAAAAATACTGTGCCAGTTAAGTGGATGCACATTTGGGAAATACTGCATAATTTTTTCATGCTGCATCTGGTTTTGGCCAAAACCAGTAGAGAATCATTTAGTTCTTGGTCTGAGATCCTTCTGAATTGCAACATTTTGTTTAAGCTTAGTCAGGACCTCTGTTTTCATCTATGCAGGCCTCTTGCCATCTTTCTTTGGTTTGTGCTTATCAGAAGGGACTCTTCTTGAGCTCGGAGGAGATGCTCCTTGAAAATAAGACAGCTCTCCTGGGCTTCTCTCTAGGGCTGTATGCCATGCAATTCTTCCAACCAGGTCCCCAAACAAGGCAAATTAAATTACCAAATTAAATTATTCCTGTATAGCATCTTGTAGGTAGGAATATGCTTTTAAAATTGCACGTGTTTTAGGACTATTAGAAGTGCATGATACTACGAACATCAAAAATCAAGAAATAAAAAATCTTGCATATCCAAAGTTTGCTAATTGTTGCAAATAGTTGCATTTGGGGGGTTTGGGTTTGTCTTTTTTTCTTTAAGAAGTAGGACACTAAGTACCGTTCTCTTATCTAATGCAAAATCACAGAATCTATGAATTCACACCATGAAGTAGATTAGATAGTGCAGTGGAAGCCAGTGAACTTAAACCGTGACATGAATTTGATTTGCCAATAAGAGAATAATCCCCATTTTGGTTAAAAAGCCAATATAGCAGATCTAGTATTTTAATTTAGTAGTCTGTAATGCTTCCTGCTACAGACTAATAAAGGTGAATTCCTCACTGCCACATAATTCAAATTCTGCAAACACAAAATTCTTTCACACTGATTTGAAGTGAATTTAGTTCAGTTTATTCCACTGAAGCTGTTTCTGATTGACATGAGTGTAAACGATACCCTTTGTCTTTTATCAGTCATGGCCTTTGACCTAGGTTACTTATTACTGAGCAAATTGAGTCTTCTGCTAGTGCAGATCAATGACATAATATGATGATCTTGCAGGGATCTCTTTTGCTTGACTGCTTTGAAATTAAAACTGAACAGTGAAGAAGGTGTTCTAGAAAATCAGTAAGTATATACTTAAATAGGCCAACCAAGCACTAATCTCTAGTTCAAAAGGCAGATATATCATGATTTTTCAACAGATCTCAATTTGGTATCCAGCTGGCATTAATGTAACTCCCTTGTCTTGGATGTTTCGGCTGTTGATGATTAAATATGTAGACTTGGGTGTGAGAATTTGGCATACGTGTTGACAGTTTAAAATTGCTAACAAAACTTAAAGGTTAGAATATTTGTATGTGGCTTGGATCAAAATTGCTGTTACAGCTCATGATTGTTCTCATTCTGATTCAGCACCCACTTTAGTGAAATCCTAGGATTTAAAGACATTTTCCATGGATTTTAGTGATGTGTCAAACAGCTTTTCTCTTACTGGCTTGAAAATTGGGAAAGAGTTTGTCAGTTCCCTCTGGACACACAAAAGAAGTTGAAAGAGGGCAGTGGAAGGTGCTCAACCTCATCTCGTTTAGATCATAATGAAAAGAGGACAAAGCAGGAAACATGACGTGCAGTCACCATGCAGTTCAGAAACTACGCTGTCCTGTGGGGTGTGGGACATGGCAATATCTGAAGGTCAGATCATGTTAGATAGACAGGGAACTTCTGAAGTGCTTTGATCAGGAAATTGCCCAAAATGAAGAACCCTGTCTCTGTACAGACCCAATCTTAGGATGCCATGGTAGGAGGAAGCTTAAAGACTCTTCCTTACCTCCCTTTCTGTGGCAGCAGTAGAGCACTGTGCAGTGTTGCTGCCTGAGGGCCCACCTCAGACTGTAACCTCTGCTCTTTGGTGCTTTGGTGTGAGACAATGCAAGGTGGCTTACTTTGGCTCACCTGTATGCAGCCTCCGTCTGCCTTCTCCTCTTGTTAATGGAGTCTTCCCAGTAGATTCAGAGAGATGGGAACTGAACCTCATTTTGGTTATATTTCTGAGAAGGTTATTGAAAAAAAGTGGTATTATTTTTCAACAGTAATTAATATTTGACAGTTTCAGATATATTTCTAAATTGAATGGTATAGTTTTATTGGATTTTTTCTCCCATTAGAATTTTCTGTGCAGTTCATATTTGTGTCTTTAATAAACTCATAATAAAGAAATGTCTGAGTGTGAAATATGCTAGTTCCATGATTTTTTTGTGCTTGATTTAGTTTAGGGTGTCTGGGAAAAATAATGTTAAAATCCATTTCATAGCTTT